GAATAGGCCTGGTGACTGTGTGTGGCTTTGAGCAATGGGCATCCTCGTCTTATTCCTGATCTTAAGGAGAATGTTTTTAGTATGATATTAACTGGGTTTGTCATATATGGCCTTTATATTTTGAGATATGTTCTCTCTATTCCCACTTTGGTGAGAGTTTTTATTATAAATGGATGCTAGATTTTTGTCAAGTGCTTCTTCTGCATCTATTGATATGACCATATGATTTTTATTTTTCATTTGGTTTATGTGGTGTATCACATTAATTGATTTGTGGATACTGAACCAGCCTTGCATACCATGCATGAAACCCACTTCATCGTGGTGTATGATCCTATGTTAGGTGCATAAATGTTTACTAGGGTTGATGTCCCCTTGTTGGATTGATCCCTTTATTATTATGTAATGTCCTTCTTTGTTTCTTATTATAGTCTTCATTTTAAAGTCTATTCTGTCCAAGATGAGTATTGCTGTTTCAGCATTTTTCTCATTTCCATTTGCATGAAATATCTTTTTCCATCCCTTTACTTTCAGTCTGTGTGTATTTTTTTATCTGAAGCGAGTCTCTTGTAGACAGCATATGCATGGGTCTTGTTTTTTTATCCACTCAGCTATCTTATTGTCTTTTGATTCAAACATTTAATCCAGTTACATTTAAAGTGATTATTGATAGGTACATAGTTATTTCCATTTTATTATTCATATTTTTTATCTTTGTTTGTTTTCTCCTTTCTTCTGCTTAAAGAAGTCCTTTTAACATTTCTGGTAATACTGGCTTGGTGGTAATGAATTCCTTTAGCTTTTTCTTGCCTGGGAAGCTTTTTATCTCCTTCAATTTTAAATGATAGCCTTGCTGGGTGGAGAAGTCTTGGTTATAGGCCCTTGGTTTTCATCATTTTGAATATTTCCTGCCACTCCCTTCTGGCCTATAAAGCTTCTGTTGAGAAATCAGCTGACAGTTTAATGGGAGTTCTCTTGTAAGTAAGTAGCTGTCTTTCTCTTGCTGCTTTTAGGATTCTCTCTCTGCCATTTTACTTATGATGTGTCTTGGTGTGGGCCTGTTTGGTTTCATATTGATTGGAATTCTCCTCACTTCCTGGGCGTGTATATCTATTTCCTACACCAGGTTAGGGAAGTTTTCAGTCTTTATTTTTTCAAGTAGATTCTCAATCCTTTGCTCCCTCTCTTCTCCTTCTGGTACTCCTATAATATGAATGTTGTCCCAAAGGTCCCTTAAACTATCTTCATTGTTTTTTTTCTTTTTTCTTTTTGTTGTTCCAATTGAATGTTTTCTGTTCCCTTATTTTCTAAATCGCTGATTCAGTCCTCTGCTTCATCTAATCTGCTGTTGACTCGTTGTAGTTTATTCTTCATGTGAGTTATTGTATTCTTTATTTCTGACTGGTTCTTTTTTATGATTTTTATGTCCTTCTTTATGCTATGTCTTTGTTGAAATTCTCACCAAGTTTCTTAAACATTCATATAACCATTGTTTTAAACTCTGTCTCTGGTAGGTTGGTTGTCTCCATTTTATTTAGTTCTATTTCTGGAGGTTTCTCCTATTCTTTTATTTGAGACATGTGTCTTTGTTTCCCCATTCTGGCTGCCTCTCTCTGTTTGCTTCTATGTATTAGGTAGATCTCCTATGTCTCTCAGTCTTTGCTGGGTGGCCTTAGGTACCATGTATCCTGTGTGGTCTAATGGTGCAGTCTTCCTGATCTCCTGTGTGTATCCAGGAGCGTCCCTTGAGTGTGTTGTGTGTTCTGTGGTAGTTGAGCCTTGATAACTTTTGGCACGTTAGTGGGTGGGATTGAGTCCTAAGCTGACTGACTGTGAGGATTGGCTATGCCCACAGTGTATGAGCTGCTGTGTGTGGGTGACCCCTCAGAGAAGGATTCGCCCCTGTGGGCTCTCGTGTCTGTTGAGACCACCCTTTGGGTATGCTACTTGTGGGCATAACCAGGTAGTGCTTTTATGTGGTTTGAAGCTGGCCTTTGGATGTTTTGTTACTGGTGTCTCTTGGGAGGGGCTCCTGTTCAGACCAATTTCAGCCTTGCCCATGACCCGCCTGGGGCTACCTGATAGGAGGTATAAAGCTACATGTGGTTGGCTGCTGCCTGTGTTGAACCTGGAGGCACATAGAGGTGGCCTTGCTGTGAACTGAGGCCGGCTGCCATCAGTATTATGCCCGGGGCAGCTTAGCAAAAGGCCCAGGGCCCCATAGGCCTATTGCCAGCTGCCACTGCCTGTAGGGCTCAGCTTTGAAAGAGCCTCTTAGGTGTGCAGACCATGCTGGTTGAGCCGGTGCTGAGAGTGCCTCTGATGATGCAGCACTAGCTGGGTGGGACGGAGTCCCAGGGAGTCACGAGCCATGGCTGGTGGTTTTTATAAGGTTAATGCAGATTCAGTTCTTCCACCAATGCGTGACCTGTGATCACTTTGCAAAACACCCTGAAGACACCGCAATTCGCTACCTCTCACCCCCAGCCCA